GTTAAGTGTGGACAGAAATTGTCATCATAGGTTGCCACCTGTCCGGGATTCACCCGGGCAGTATGGTTTTGAAATCTTGTGTCTGGTTTTCAGGTCAGCTGAGCCCCGGACACACTAGAGGCCACCACCTAAAGTTGGTGGAGAAAAAATTCCAGCACAATGGGCGAAGGGGGTTCTTTACAGTAAGAGCGGTTGAGGTCTGGAACTCACTGCCATCGGCAGTGATTTCAGCCAAGAGTGTAGATTTGTTCAAGAAACGTTTGGACAATTTCTTGAGGGACCGTAACACCCGGGGATACCAGTATCCCTAAGAATGAGATGATGCGTGGACCTATATGGGTTGGACTTGATGGACGTATGTCTTTATTCAACCCCAAATACTATGCAACTATGGAACTATGTAAGATGTCAGAACTTCAGGCAGATGGGGCAGCCCCGGGGTCCTACTTGGAGGCAGGGAGCTGACATGTGCGATCTGTGGAGCTCCTCACAGTAAGATCTCCCATTCTGTGTTTTCTTTCTGTCAGAGAAATGCTTCCTGGTGGAGGTGCAGGGTGAGTGTCTGTGTTTCTTTGTTGAAAGATATGTGTCCTGATCGTTTGTCATCTGTGACAGTATCACCTCCCATCCCGGTGGAGCTGGGGGGCGGAAGAGTGAGTGTGTGTGTGTGTGTGTGTAGATGCTGCTCTAAAATCTTCACTGTTACATTGTGTGTGTGTGTATATATATATTTTACACACACAATGACATAGCCGTATATGTGTGTGTAGATACACACACAAACACCTATTTCGTTCTATATACTGTAAGAAAGTCACTGGTCAGTGATCAGTATGGGCAATAAATGCGGCTTTATTGCATGCAACATAAAAAGTTTCTTTTTATCCACAGGGTACGTTTTCCCTTTTTAAAACAAACGAATTCCAGCATAAACTCAAGAGTAACATAAATAAAAAGGCCGACTCCACCTTAGGAGGCTAACTAACTGTAGTAAATTGCAGAAACGTCACCAGCACACCAAATCCTTATAGGATCAAAGTTTGTAGATTTTATTGCAAACTCATGTCAGTTACACAAGCGCTTTCGGGGCCACACAGGGTCCCTTCAGGATTTGGTGTGCTGGTACCGGTAAGGAGTGCAACTAGCCTTTTCTTTTTTCTTAACTAACTGTAGTGTCCCTCACTACGTCCTACAGCAGCGGCTATTCCAGCATAAATGAACATGAACAGAAACCACAGTCCAATACATACAGTTTTTAGCCAGACCTCATCCCACAGACATTCAGCCGCTCTCCAGTCTGTATGCATCCATCCATCCAGTCCAGCATCTCTCTCTCCTCTCTCATCACTATCAGTTGGAGGCTAATTAATAGAGAGAGGAGGCGTACCTGTTGGTGCAAGGCTTGCTTAAATCCTTCCTAGCCAGGATCGGTACTCACCTCTCCGCCAGCTTCCGGGTCTTCCGGGAGTTCGGAGATCCGGTGACGTCACGGACATCGACATCAACGGACTCCTCCCCCCTTCCCCAAGTGGCTCCGAAGGGAAGGGGGGGGGAGTCCGGTGGCATCGATGTCCTTGAAGGCTAACAAAGGGAAGGGGGAGGAGCCCGGTGACGTTGATGTCCGTGACGTCACCTGACTCCTCCCCCTTCCCTTCGTTAGCCGACGGAGCCACAAAGGCGCGTGACTTAAAAGTACACAGAGAGAAAGTACTTAGAACGCATCAGCCGTATCAAATAGGCTCTCAGAAGAAGCACAAAAAGGTATTGTTGCCATGTTGCTTACTGTTACTATGTTATATAAAATAGTTCTGTAATGCTTTTTAAAAATTCAGTCCTGTTGCTCTTCAAGCGTGTATAGCCAGCGCACAAAAAAGGATTTCAAATGACAAAAAAGTGTGGAATTATTTAATAACCAACCCGCCCATATACACACGGAAGAGAGCAGCTTCCAGGGGACATCCACCTTTCCATTTTTGTAACCCTCCCCTTTCAATAAAACCTGAATGTGTTAATTTTTTTAAATGTACCTTTTTTTAAATGTCTTTGTGTGGCCCTGTCCCCATTACCATTGTTGCTTAGACAAGAATTCTGTATGTGCGTTATAATTAATCGAAATTAATCGATTAAAAAAAAATCAATCGAACACAAAAATGTTAATCAGCAACAGCCCTAATATATATATAGGCTTGTTCAGACCAACTGCGGTGCGTTCCACAGCGGTAGCTGCTGGAAGGCACCGCAATCGCTCACAAAACTGCAAGGGTTAAGTGCTCGTTTTGGTCTAGGAGCCAAAAAAAAAAGAAAATACCCTCACCTGATCCTTGATCCTGCTTGGCTGGTAGACGGATCCCCGCAGCCTCCTCTGCACTGGGCTCGGTGGTCTAAGGACCGGTGCCGTCACCACGTCTAAAGCAGTTCTATTACGTTCCCTGGTCAGAGCGGAGGGGAAGAGAGGCGAGCGCTGACCGCCACAGGACCGAGCAAGTATATCTTCTTTATTGGGGCTCCCTAGACCAAAACGAGCAGTTAACCCTTACCGTGCCAGGGCAGCTCAGCTGATGCAGCCGTGAGCTTCTATTAACCCCTCGAAAGCCAGGACGCACAGGACAGGGTTGAGTTCAGGACCCAGTGCAGGCCAGTCAAGTTCCTCCACCCCAAACTCATGCACTGACCCCACTTCTGGCCATGACTGCATATACTGTATATATAGTAGCAGCAGGCAGATGAAGATGCCTGGGTATAGGCAGGATGACAGGGATGCATATATTATATATTATATTATAAAGAGGGCCAGATGTGATTGAATTTGTTTTTAATTTTCTTGTTCTCAAGTTATCCCCAGACCGTTCTCCTGGCAACCGCCAAATAGGGTTGCCACCTGTCCGGTATTCACCTGGACAGTGCGGGTTTTGAATGCTGTGTCCGGGTTTCATGGCAGCTAAAACCCGGACGCATGTCAAGCAGACAGGGGCAACCAAAATTAGGATAGAGGCTACTGGCCCCCCACTGAAAATAGTCTCCACTGTGATATTACATATCAATGGGTGGCGCTATTTAAATATGAATAATTCTCCCAAAAAAATGTCCATGCGTTGCTAGAGTGTTTGGGTTTCGCTGAAAGAAAAGGTGGCAACCCTACCGCCAAACCCAGACACGTCCATCGGTTTGCCAGACAGAGAAACGTGATTGGTCACTCCAGAGAACACGTCTCCACTTCTCTAGAGTCCAGTGGCGGCGCACTTTACACCACGGCATCCCACGCTTTGCATTGCACTTGGTGATGTACGGCTTGGATGCAGCTGCTCGGCCATGGAAACCCATTCCATGGAGCTCTCCACGCACTGTTGTTGTGCCAATCTGAAGGCCACACGAAGTTTGGAGGTCTGTAGCTATAAGTCTGTAGTTGCTGTTGTTCCCAGTTGCTCCCACTTTGTTATAATACCAGTAACAGGTGACCGCGGAATATTTAGTAGCAAGGAAATTTCCCGGAACACCTGAATCCAATGATTTGGAGGGGCGTCCCAATACTTATGGCAATATAGTGTACATAATAAAATACACCTACACTTTGGCCGTTATAGCCGATTCGTAAAGCTGTCGTTGTCGTATGGTTTCACTGATACTGCACCTTCTCTACCTAAATTGCAATTGACGAGGCTTAGGGCGCTTTATTTAGCCCGCTCACCCCTGGCTGTACAGTATCTTCAATGACTATTTCGGCCTCTTCTTAGATATCTCACATCTTCAAGTATTTCAAAGAGCTCTTTTCCTTCCACATCGATCGGCTTATTATCAGATTCCTTATTATTATTATTCATGATTTATATAACGCCAATGGTTTGTGCTGAGCTTCACAATATAAGAATAAAAAAGGTATGGGTAAGGGAAAATGATGTGAGTAGTATCACACAGACATAAAGTAGAAGTGTCACATAAATAAACTAGATGAGGAAGTGATTAATGATAAAGGGGAATGGGAGGTAGAGGGGGGATAGAGATAACTGGAACACGTAAGAAATAAGGAGATATACACAATACACATAGTGGTAAAGAGTTTTGTTTTTTTTTTTCTTTCTCTATCTCTCTCTCCCATCTCGTTCTCCCTCTCTCCCACCATGGGCACTCTTCCTGTGCTCCCCTTAAAGGAGCAGAGGATAAACACTACACGAAATGAAATAGATCTGAGAGAAATGCACTTGAATAAAGGATAAAAGCATGGGGGGAGGAGATGTATTTAAATAAAAGTTATTGGAAGTGTAAGATTATGGGGATCTCTTATGGATGAAGTGGTGGAAGAGGAAGGGAAAATAATAAGTATTATGTAATTGAATGAATGAATGTATATGTTTAAGGGAAAAATGTTGTTGTATTTAAATGTATATGTATATATGTTATATTTGAAAAATGTAATAAATATATATTTAAAAAAAAAAGAGCTTCACAATATAAAGGGAGACTGTACAGTAACAAGACAAGATGGTTAGGAGGACCCGGCTCATGAGAGTTTACAATCATAATGGAATACATATATATTCAGGTCTCTTACCAGTTCAGTAGATTCGCTGGATTAGAATAACAGTAATCCTATTGAGTGTTACCCGCAGTATGGTCACAGCAAGCTCCAGCCAGAGGCTTCCATGTCCAAGCCTCATTTCAGCTCCTCACAGCGCTCTCCAGGTTGAGTCTCTCATATCCAAGCCTCCTTTCCAGCTCCAGGCCTGCTTCCACCCCCCATTCCCTCCCAGGACTTCACAGGAATCTCTGTTGTCTGTGGTCACAATGAGGTTTGGAGCTCAGAGGATGGAGAACGCTGACAGGAGGCGAGAACGAGGCTTGGGACACGGAAGCCTCTGACTGGAGAACGCTGTGACTACTAAAGTGGCTGCCGGTGTTATGTCGAGGTGGCCAACTCGTCGAGATCTCCAACTCGTGACGTCACAAACATTGTAGCTTATGCCGAGATGGTGCTAGTGGCCGGGTGCCAGCCGTCACAGTTTTTTTTACTTCACTTGCCGTAGGTGCACCCGTGCGGCTTTGAAATTGTCGTCGAGTTCTCCAACTCCCGTCGGTGCTTGTGGCATCGGGTGCCCGCACAGGCGCACTGCTGCAGATTTTACAACTTGATACTTCTCTTGGGTGGCTGCGCAGGTGCAAAACGGGAGTTGGAGGTCTCGAGGAGTTGGAGAATTCGATAGAACACCGGTGACATTATTATTATTATAGGTATATATACAACATTTATACATAGATTCTTTAACAAACCATTATAATAGGCTATGTTTCTAATCCTCAATGATGATGGAAAGTATATGTTATCCTTAGAGGGCCGATTGACACCAGCAAGCCGCACTAAACGCATGTGTGCTGAGAGAAACAGTACTGATGCGCCGATGCCTATTCACACTTGCGGCGCATGTGAACACAGGTGAAACAAATGACAAACGCACTCATTCATTCATAACTACCTTTTAAAGTAAGGTGCACGTGAACAAGCGTCACAGTTGCGCGTATTTTGCTGTGCATCAGCACAGGGCAGCACTTTAATTTCAATGGGCTGCCCAACACACAACAAAAGCGGCACAGAAGCTTCATGCTATTTTAGAACTCCTGTTTTCAGGCATTTGTCAGGTGGCCATGTGTGACGTGCCATTGAGAAATAGTGGCGCCAGAATTGCACGCATCGCATTTCAACGTCACGCATTCTCTCACGTTGTGTGAATGCATACCGATGCGCATGTGTGGCAAAACATGAACAGGGCCTTAAGCTAAAGTTACATTTGTTGGGGGGTTATACAGCAGCAGGGGCATTACTTGCCTCTAATAAAGTGCGTCCTATGTCCTGCTTCATGACAGTTCCTGTAGAAATCCTCCCTTCAGCGATGCCGGATCCTCTGCATAGCAGTGAACTTCCAGCACATTATGGGTTAACTGCTGCTGCTGTTAAAAGAAGAATTGGGAGCCGCTCTCCCCCTCCCTTCCACCCATTCACAGAGTTCTTTGCATTCTTTTCACAGAATGTAGAGGAGGGGGATCCTGCCATTCATCTGTCTTTCACCCACTATGCAGAATAATGATTATGATAATAATAAACATTTCATTTAGCTGTGCTGTATGTGTATAGGCCAATGTAGTTGGATCTGTATGTGCGTTATCATTAATCGATTAAAAAAAATTTCGATTAATTGTACACAAAAATTGTAATCATTACCAGCCCTAATTTTTTATTTTTGTGTCGTTGTTACAAGGAAAGGTGAAATTACCTCCCCATTGCTCATATACATGTTGTATAAAATAAATGTGTGTGTGTGTGTTATATTTTTGGTAAAACATAAAAGACGGGGTCGCCTCAGGTAAATAGACACCAAACATGTCAAGCCTTAAAATTGCGCACGCCCGCAAAATCTAAAAAACGACCACACTTTTATTGCTCATCAGTTTGGGGGTGTTATTAGTGATTGATGGCCCTAAAACTATTACTCACACTCCAACGTTCTTGGTGATACGTAACATGTGCGGCACAATCGTCGTTTTCGCACGAAGGCGCACCCGACACATTTTTTTTTTATGCTTTTTTTTTTTTTTACACAACTTTATTGCTATCACTAAGAAGCCCCCTATGTGATAGCCAATCTACATGACAGGTCCTCTTAATGGAGACATCAGGGGTCTCCAAGACCCCTAATGTCACCTAGGGACCCCCAGAGAAGCAGAGATCTGCTCCACCAGCTTCTGTAGCTGGAGAGTGACAGCATAATGCGGAAGTGATGTAATATACATCACTTCCTGCATTGGGGACTGAGAGAAGATCAGAGGGAGATCGTGTAACGATCTCCCTTTGATCTCCTGTCACAGAGCACCCGTGCTGCTCCCGGCTGCACCGGGCACAGCGGATCTCGGGATCGGCAACGATTAGCTGCTGCTAATACAAGCGATTGGGCGTCTCTAGAGACGCCCAATCACTTGAATGTAAAGCTCCCGGCCGGCCATGTAATTACAACGGCCGGCCGGGAAGCTACTCGTCGGGCTCCGCCATCCTCTCGTCACCGACGAGAGGACGAGTGGATTTTTCAAGCCCTGTATGTGTATATATATATATATATATATCTGCATTAATGTAAAAAATGCCCCCCACCACCACCACACACACACACACTTACCTGCGGTCGGTCATCTCTTCCGCCGCAACCGGGAAGAAAGATACTCAGCGCTTTCCCCGAACTTCCTCGTCCTGGGGGAAGGTACTGAGGGCAGAGGAGACATAGGCTCCTTCTGCCGTCAGTTAAAGTGTGACTATGGGAGCAGGGGGTGTGGCTTGCACAAGCTGTGTGTGTCTATGGACACACACCGCTAGCTGCAGGAACAAGCAAGCACGGGTGTCTTCTCAGCAGCTAGCGGTCTGAGGATAACTTGAGAACGAGGAAACTAAATTGTTTTTAAAAAAAAGCAAATGCAATCACATCTGGCCCTCTTTATAATATATAAAAAAAAGGAACACTTTAAGGACACTTGCTTAAATCTTCTTTTTAGGGTTTCTTTGCCCACTTTTATTGACACAAAAACTCAAAGGTTCATTCACCGCTCCAAACTCACTCCTGGGATGGACTATAAATCTCATGTTTAGTTTCCTAATTTGTATTGAGATTGTAGTCCATCACAGGAGTGAGCTTGGAGTGGTGACTACTTTACAACACACACAGGGACCATGGGGAACAGACGTAGCCCCCCTCCAGAAGCAAGGACAGTGTCAGCACCAATTCAGAGATGATTTGAGGATCTACAGCCGAGTGATACACAAATAAGATACATTTCTGGTAATAGTTCAAGTACTTGAATGTATTTCTAAGATTTAAAGTGACATTAAAGCCAAAAAATTTTCCCCTCCACCCCATGTAAATGTTAGCACTTACCTCAAATGATGTCTCTTATTCTGATCTTCCTCTTCTTTCCACCTGTTTTCATGTGTCCCTCCAGCGGTGCAACGTCACTCCGATCCAGCGCTGACTGCTCTGTCTCTCCGATCCAGCGGTGTCTGCAGGCGGGTGCATGCGTCCATAGACTTACCTTGCGTCTCTGCTCGTCTCCCGGCCGAGAATCGGAACTGTGCATGCGCCCGCCCCAAGATGCTTTGCGGCCGTACGATCACTTCCTGATTCTCGGCGCGGGAGCGAGCAGCGATAAAGAGGTAAGTTTAAAACCAGTTCAAGCGTTTTTTTTTTTTTAACTTCTTGCCTATATCTACTGCTTGCTAGTAGTAGATATAGGCAAAAAAACGGAGGGTTTAGAACCCCTTTAACTCCAGAGTTTAGTGTCACTTCCAGCCAGTGGCGTAACAATCACAATAGCGACCCAGGCGGCCGCTATGGGGCCCGGGGGACAGGGGGGTCCGGCAAGGACATGCCCCTGATGCCATGCGGGCCACCTGGGTCGTTATGGCATCTCAGGCTGCTGGCTGTCACTGGCGGCTGTTAGGAGGAACATGTGAAGCGGCGCGTTCCTCCTCACAGCCACTGCTGAGTCAGTGACAACCCGCAGCTTCGGAGGAGGTGACTGGGCCTGTCGTCAGCAGCGATGGAGGCGGGGCCCAGTGATCGAAAAGGCGGAGCATAGCTATGAGAGCGGCGGGGCCCGGTGATCGAGGAGGTGGGGCCCAGTTACAGAGGAGGCGGGGCCCGCCAGGGATCGTGGAGGAGAAGGAGGCGGACAGAGGATTGGAGCAAACAGGTAAGAGGGCTTGACTGCCCACATGAGACCCTGCAGAGCCCACCATAGAAAGTCTATGGTGGGCTCTGCAAGGTCACCCTCAGATGGGCTGTTTGGGTTATCAGGTGGGCTTAACTAGAAATCACAGGGCCCCATACAAAATTTTGCATGTGATTTCTAGATACGCCCCTGCTTCCAGCCTTTAAGGTCAGGTTTAGCAGTTGAACTTAGCTTAGGAAACAGGTATAGATTAAGATTTAGGTGAACTTTAAAACTCAGCGGTTTTTATTACTCCACATTCATTTTTTGAAAGTGATAAAACCACTCTTGGGTGCATCCATTCATTTAATAGACCAAAACTCAAGACACCCAAGACCATTTTTGGCAATATTATTACACCAAAAGTGAACATATCAGGCTGAGGAGAGGGCCAGATATATCTCTCCAGCTGGAGAATAATGAGGAGTAGGCACATAGGAATAGTTTTGCATTCAAGAAGGTATATACCAGGTACAATATGTTTGGTGATATGGCGGTCATAGTAGTTTTTCTATTAGTCATGTTCAAGCCATAGTACTATATGTAAATATGCCAAGCTCTTATTTATTGGGTTGCATAAAAATAGCAAGGTACCATAGTGCTTCCACCCACATGGGGCCTTACGCCAAGAATACTTCCTTTCATGGGGAAGAATACTGACCACTGTTCACAAAGCCACCAGTAACAGTGACTTTATACAACTCCTGACTTTCTATTACATTATCCCCCCCATAAGCGATGTCTATAGTGTACTTATCACGTACCGGAGGCTGAGACCAGACGATGGAGAGGCGTCTCTTGCAATTCGTGTCCTGAGACCCTTGGAGTTGGGAACAGGAGGGCGCAAGGCAAAGAGGAGCACGAGTGCCGCAGGCCGGAGACAGACACCGTGCAGGAATAACTTTGTAGGGAGGTTAGCAAGCCAAAGGTCGAATCCAGTCGGGCAGCGGAGTATTAATTCGGAAGACGATAGCAAATCCAGGGAAAAGGCTGGGGTCAGGGGCTGGCAGCAAGCAGAAGAGTAGTCCAGGGCAATCCAAGTCAAAGCAGGTCAAGCAGAGAACACAGGTAACAAGCACCAACTGACAAGACCATCAGCAATGAGAGGGAAGCAGGTTCATCCTTAAATAGTCATTGAATTAAGACAGCTACCTCACTTCCTGTGTGCCATCCGTCTGCGCGTCTTTCCGCGTATCTCACGAATGCGCAGTTTGCCGCGATTCCGGCGGTTGGCCCTTTGCGTGAATGCGCGGCCGCAACTGTGCTTTTACAGTACTGGTACCAAAGGTAAGCTCATGCAGATTTTCAGAGAAGACAAAAGCAACAAAGCGCCACCTCTTTGTGTGAAATCTTTGGTGGCGCTTTGTTGCTTTTGTCTTCTATGTATCTGATGAGAACCCCAGAGTCTCTCTGACGACCAGCCTCTCCAAATCCTGTGGATATTTACAGGAAAGACTACTCCTAGAGGATTGTGTGATGGTAATGATTAGCGTCAAGAGTTAAATCGACTTTTTCATGCTGATTTTCCTCTGGGGATATTGGAAACATGGGGACCAGAGAAGGAAAAGCTTCAGCTATAGACCTCCATTTGGATAATGGAAAAGAAAGAAGAAACGGTGGCACCTCTAGGGGTACCAGTAGATTCTCCATTATAATCAAATACGACGTATGGTGCTCACCTTGCTATGTCTTATTGTAGACCATATGTCTAATTGTAATTGGGAATCTACTGGTACTCATCGAAGGGTTTGTATTTTTTTTACTTTTCAGCATTGTATAACCCTGTTTGTGGATAACCAGTGCAGTGGCAGCCTCGGAGGATGGATTTGGCAGAGAATGAGCCATCTCTTGGAGTACTTTGATCCCTCTGTGTTCAAGGCTTCTTTTTTGTCCATGTGTCCATTTAGATAACAGAGAGCAAATGACACATTGTACACGCAAGGCAGTGAAGAAAAAACTTTATTGTAAAAAAAAAACAGAAACAACTTAACTGATCACTGTTACCTGGGCAAAGTACTTTATCCTAATGCCCATCCCAAAGCATATCTCTTTAGTGGAAGCAAAAAAAAAAAAAATCACAAATAACTAACTTTACCAAACATATTAACAGGTCCAGGTCATGGTATAGCTCAGGGGTAGGCAATCTTGGCACTCCAGTTGTTGTGAAACTACAAATCCCATGAGCCATTGCAAGACTCTAAAAGCCACAGGCATGTACGATCACTTCCTGATTCTCGGCGCGGGAGCGAGCAGCGATAAAGAGGTAAGTTTAAAACCAGTTCAAGCGTTTTTTTTTTTTTAACTTCTTGCCTATATCTACTGCTTGCTAGTAGTAGATATAGGCAAAAAAACGGAGGGTTTAGAACCCCTTTAACTCCAGAGTTTAGTGTCACTTCCAGCCAGTGGCGTAACAATCACAATAGCGACCCAGGCGGCCGCTATGGGGCCCGGGGGACAGGGGGGTCCGGCAAGGACATGCCCCTGATGCCATGCGGGCCACCTGGGTCGTTATGGCATCTCAGGCTGCTGGCTGTCACTGGCGGCTGTTAGGAGGAACATGTGAAGCGGCGCGTTCCTCCTCACAGCCACTGCTGAGTCAGTGACAACCCGCAGCTTCGGAGGAGGTGACTGGGCCTGTCGTCAGCAGCGATGGAGGCGGGGCCCAGTGATCGAAAAGGCGGAGCATAGCTATGAGAGCGGCGGGGCCCGGTGATCGAGGAGGTGGGGCCCAGTTACAGAGGAGGCGGGGCCCGCCAGGGATCGTGGAGGAGAAGGAGGCGGACAGAGGATTGGAGCAAACAGGTAAGAGGGCTTGACTGCCCACATGAGACCCTGCAGAGCCCACCATAGAAAGTCTATGGTGGGCTCTGCAAGGTCACCCTCAGATGGGCTGTTTGGGTTATCAGGTGGGCTTAACTAGAAATCACAGGGCCCCATACAAAATTTTGCATGTGATTTCTAGATACGCCCCTGCTTCCAGCCTTTAAGGTCAGGTTTAGCAGTTGAACTTAGCTTAGGAAACAGGTATAGATTAAGATTTAGGTGAACTTTAAAACTCAGCGGTTTTTATTACTCCACATTCATTTTTTGAAAGTGATAAAACCACTCTTGGGTGCATCCATTCATTTAATAGACCAAAACTCAAGACACCCAAGACCATTTTTGGCAATATTATTACACCAAAAGTGAACATATCAGGCTGAGGAGAGGGCCAGATATATCTCTCCAGCTGGAGAATAATGAGGAGTAGGCACATAGGAATAGTTTTGCATTCAAGAAGGTATATACCAGGTACAATATGTTTGGTGATATGGCGGTCATAGTAGTTTTTCTATTAGTCATGTTCAAGCCATAGTACTATATGTAAATATGCCAAGCTCTTATTTATTGGGTTGCATAAAAATAGCAAGGTACCATAGTGCTTCCACCCACATGGGGCCTTACGCCAAGAATACTTCCTTTCATGGGGAAGAATACTGACCACTGTTCACAAAGCCACCAGTAACAGTGACTTTATACAACTCCTGACTTTCTATTACATTATCCCCCCCATAAGCGATGTCTATAGTGTACTTATCACGTACCGGAGGCTGAGACCAGACGATGGAGAGGCGTCTCTTGCAATTCGTGTCCTGAGACCCTTGGAGTTGGGAAAAGGAGGGCGCAAGGCAAAGAGGAGCACGAGTGCCGCAGGCCGGAGACAGACACCGTGCAGGAATAACTTTGTAGGGAGGTTAGCAAGCCAAAGGTCGAATCCAGTCGGGCAGCGGAGTATTAATTCGGAAGACGATAGCAAATCCAGGGAAAAGGCTGGGGTCAGGGGCTGGCAGCAAGCAGAAGAGTAGTCCAGGGCAATCCAAGTCAAAGCAGGTCAAGCAGAGAACACAGGTAACAAGCACCAACTGACAAGACCATCAGCAATGAGAGGGAAGCAGGTTCATCCTTAAATAGTCATTGAATTAAGACAGCTACCTCACTTCCTGTGTGCCATCCGTCTGCGCGTCTTTCCGCGTATCTCACGAATGCGCAGTTTGCCGCGATTCCGGCGGTTGGCCCTTTGCGTGAATGCGCGGCCGCAACTGTGCTTTTACAGTACTGGTACCAAAGGTAAGCTCATGCAGATTTTCAGAGAAGACAAAAGCAACAAAGCGCCACCTCTTTGTGTGAAATCTTTGGTGGCGCTTTGTTGCTTTTGTCTTCTATGTATCTGATGAGAACCCCAGAGTCTCTCTGACGACCAGCCTCTCCAAATCCTGTGGATATTTACAGGAAAGACTACTCCTAGAGGATTGTGTGATGGTAATGATTAGCGTCAAGAGTTAAATCGACTTTTTCATGCTGATTTTCCTCTGGGGATATTGGAAACATGGGGACCAGAGAAGGAAAAGCTTCAGCTATAGACCTCCATTTGGATAATGGAAAAGAAAGAAGAAACGGTGGCACCTCTAGGGGTACCAGTAGATTCTCCATTATAATCAAATACGACGTATGGTGCTCACCTTGCTATGTCTTATTGTAGACCATATGTCTAATTGTAATTGGGAATCTACTGGTACTCATCGAAGGGTTTGTATTTTTTTTACTTTTCAGCATTGTATAACCCTGTTTGTGGATAACCAGTGCAGTGGCAGCCTCGGAGGATGGATTTGGCAGAGAATGAGCCATCTCTTGGAGTACTTTGATCCCTCTGTGTTCAAGGCTTCTTTTTTGTCCATGTGTCCATTTAGATAACAGAGAGCAAATGACACATTGTACACGCAAGGCAGTGAAGAAAAAACTTTATTGTAAAAAAAAAACAGAAACAACTTAACTGATCACTGTTACCTGGGCAAAGTACTTTATCCTAATGCCCATCCCAAAGCATATCTCTTTAGTGGAAGCAAAAAAAAAAAAAATCACAAATAACTAACTTTACCAAACATATTAACAGGTCCAGGTCATGGTATAGCTCAGGGGTAGGCAATCTTGGCACTCCAGTTGTTGTGAAACTACAAATCCCATGAGCCATTGCAAGACTCTAAAAGCCACAGGCATGACTTCCAGAGGCAGATGTATGTTGGGCTTTGTATTTTTACCACAGCTGGAGGGCTAAGGTTGCCTACCCCTGGTATAGCTATCTTTTATTGATGCAGCAACCACACAGTGCAGCTGGAGAAGCAAGGAGAGGTTTTGGATACCTGCAATGGCCAGAGAATAGCAACACCCCAGCGATTTAATACAAAGGCTGCTGGAAAGGGGAGTATATGGCATCTTTTACAGGCTGCATTTACTTGATGATGTAGTGGCAGGGTCACTTAAACATTTAAACAGCCCAAGGAACTCAACCTACCTACATTTGCTGGGTGGCCCTTATTTTAATTCTGTAAGCGAGTTGCTATGAACACAAAAGTGTTTCCTGGCTCCCAGCATCGCCCTCTCTCTGAGCCCACTGCACCCTAGCCCAAGATACACTAGAGCATGAGAGAGAGGTTGCGGTCTAACGTTATGTAACCATTTTTTGCATTCTTGCAATTTGAGGGCAAGGCAGATGCTAGATAGCCAAGCCCCAATCATGCAACTGTGTTTTTGAACATTGCAGCTCTTCTCCCCCCAAAAAAGTGTAAATGAGTGACAAAACTCCAGCAATGGCCTAATTACCTCCCACAACTGTCAACTAAAACCAGTACTAAACCAAAAACAAGGTTCATTGAAAGCCAAGCTGCCAAAGTGTAACTTCACAAACTTTAGTGAAGGTCAAAATATGAGCACCCCAAGATGATGCACCACCAACGGCATCAACACCTTGTAATTGGCCTGAGATGATTTAAAACCAGGCACACTAGGCAAATACAGACTTAGACTCTAATATTCTGGTGTGCCGACTACCTAGCCATCCTACTATACAACTGGGCACAAGACAGAAAGGAGCCCTATTGGATAGTGAAGTGGGCGTGAAGGGGGCATGCCAGAACTCCAAAGTCAGGTCCAAATCTAGGCTTCCATTTGGCTGTGGCCAGAGGATGGTTTTGACACTGCAAGTGCATTTTAGTACATGCCTTTAAGCTCTGTTATTCAGAGGACCTGTATTTCCACCTCCCTCTGATCTCTTCAGAAATAAGTTTTTAACAAAAAAGAAACAGCCCTGGAGCATGCAATAGCCCCCAGGTACAAGCCTGAAGCATGGAGTAGCCCTTATGAACAGTCCTGGAGCAAGGAGTGCCCCCCTTGTACGGCCTTGAAGCATGGAGTGGACCCCATGTACAGCTGTGGAGCATGAAGTAGCCCCCATGTAAAGCCATGGAGCATGGAGGAGCCCCTATGTACAGCTCTGGAGCATGGATTAGCCCCCATGTACAGCTCTAGAGCATGGAGTAGCCCCAATGTAAAGCTCTGGGGCATGGAGACACAGAATTCTAGGAATAATGGAGTGAATAAACACTGTGCCGCACCAAGTAGATATTAGCACTGTTCCTCCACAACTTCTATTGTGGAGGACTAATGTACTAGACTTTCTCACCACAGAAACATAAAGTGATTTTGGATTGTCCATCACTTTCCTGGCCAACAAAATGAAAATAAAGCAAGGGTGGCTTATTTAAACAGGGATACAAAGAATAACACAAGGAAGAGTTTCTAACTCTTTCCTACTTTACTCAAAACTGGAAAAAGAAAGTTTGGCTTCAATACCACTTGAATAACTGGCTGGAAATTACCTGCAGCCAGAACAAAATGGTGGAAACTTTGTAGAAGTGATCCAATCAGGTTCCCCTCCCTAGGTCACCTTGGAATTCCAACAGTAAAATAATTTCCCACATCTCCTAACTCACCCAGATATCTTTATTGAACCATCTGACACACAAAGTGCAGCATGAAGGGGCTCAGTGAAGGTGGTGGTGAAGGTGTGTAAGTGTCGGATCGGTTCACACATATCATAAAAAAACAGCTGCCCGGCCTTGTAATCCAGATAGATCCTGACTTTATCACTGGAGATATTGTCAGCTAACGGCACCTTTTCCTCATTATGTATCACTGAACACTCGTTCTCATATCTGCTTAAACTCCATGACTTCCTGTTATATCCAATGGCTGACTGACGTCCTCTCTTGTCTATACCGGCATAACTCATTCCTACTGCCCAGTTCGTTGATTCACTGACATCAAGCTCCCAGTAATGTCTCCCTGAGAAAAAACTCCTCATGCCTAACACCTGATAGTATGTCTGAAATTTCCCCGATGTTTCTGGGTGATTTTGTTTTGTATTGGACCAGGATGCAGTTTTCATATCACCTGACAAATGAAGTTTATGATGAGCTGTATTTACATCCAGTAATATGTCTGCGGCCTGTACATGTAGGAATGCATTTACCCCTTTTATCATGTTGGATAACCCCGAGTGTAATGTGTGCGAGATCTCAGCCACATCCAGATTCCGTCCATCATGGAGGAGTTTATCATGTCTCTCTCTGTCCTCGTCATCTCCCTCCTCAGTATCACACAAGTCCCCTGTGTCTGATTCCTGTAAGACAGTCAGTGGGTCAGTCATGTTACACATCTCCTCAATGTGATCCATCTTCCTGGACAGCTCGGCCTTCTTTATTTCCAGCTTCTGGATCAGGTCAGAGACTGGGAGTGAAAGCCGCTCTTCCTGCCTGGAGATCATATTGTGGACTTTCTTCTGCAGGTCTTCTGCCTGTCTCCTTGTGTCTTCAAATAAGCTTGTAACTTTCGTTGTTACACCAGCTGCTCTTTCTTGTACTTTTCTCCTGCGTTCCTGCAGACTCCGGACTCTCTTCTCAGTCTCCTCTCTCTCTGTGATCAGTTTCTGTAGAACATTCTTTAGTTTCTGCTTCTTCTTCTCAGAGGCCTCATGCAACAGCTCTGCTGTATGTCCTTGGTGTTCTCCATCCAGCCTGCAGGACACACAGATACAGGCAGAATCTGCAAGACAGTAATACTCCAGAATCTTCTTATGGACGGAGCATTTCCTACTCTCCATGGAAGTGGTGGGTTCAGTTAGGATGTGCTCTGGTGACTTGCTGTGGACTCTCAGGTGATCATCACACAGAGAAGCTTCACACATCAGACAGGATTTAACAGCAGGTACAGGAGCGTGAATACAGTAAGTACAGGAGATCCCAGTCTCCTCCCGATGTAACTGGGTAGACTGTAAATCTTTTACTAGGTTACGCAATGTTAGGTTCCTGTGTATTTTAGGACGACTCTGGAATAATTTCCTACATTGGGGACAGAAGTAGGATCCAGACTTCTGTGAATTCAGGACCTTTTTTATACAGGCCCGGCAGAAGTTGTGTCCGCATTTCAGGTTTACTGCATCTTTATAAACGTCTATACAAATGGGACACTCCAGATCTTCCTGATTCAGATTCAGAAATGCCATGACTAAGAAAGGAAAGAATGAAAATTAAGGTCTGATACACTTAAAAGGGAAATATATATATTGCACATTTTTTCTGCTCAGGAAACAGTTCAACTAGTTTTTTTTATCAGATTAGAGCGAGACTTTCCTTTATCAGTAGGGATACACCATTTTTCGACAGACTGAGTATTGATACTTTTCCTCAAGTACTCGCCGATACCAATTACCGATACCTTTCTTATAGTTTCATGTGACAGTTTCCCTAAAACAATACAGACTAATGATTTTAGGACAGTGGTGGAGGGACTACAAAGCCCAGCAATACATTATACAGCAATGCAGAATGGCACCAGCTATAGAGGACTACAAATCCCAGCAATACATTATACAGCAATGCAGAATAATAGCATGTGTATTGCTGCATAGAGTATGTAGCAATACACATGCTATTATTCTAGCTACATACTCTATGCTGCCACTCTGCTCGGGGGTGCCGGCCTGAGGCAGAGGGTCGCCGGAGGGGGAGATGGGAGGAGGCTCACAGGACCGGGAGATGTGAAGGTCGGCGGAAGCGTTGTAAACAGGTGCTGCGTGGTCCCCGGGAAGGCTGCCGCGAGGTCCCCAGCAAGCGGGGGACCTTAGGCAGCTGCTTCAATTTAAATAATTAAAGTCCTGGTATCGGTTTTTGGTATCTGAGCATTTGCATGGGTACAAGAGCTATCCCTATTTATGTGTTAGGGAGTCAAAGTGATTTCTCTATACAGTGTTCCGTAATTAATTTCATAATTATGGAAGATTGTGTTTCCTAGTCTCGGAGAGTCAAGCAGTTTTTGTGGCATAGACCATAAGAAGCCGACGAAAAATGATCTGATCCCCGTCACGCACGGTGCGCAATATGTCTCTCGTCTGATAGACGTCTGGTAGAAGCTGATGAACAAAATCATATTACAAGAAACATTCAGACTAAAGAGCAGACCTTGCCTGTTAAACATCTTGAAACCTAAAGCGGAACTGTAGAAGTAGTGGTGTATAGGGCTGCAACAACTAATCAACTAAATCGATTATTTAAAAAGTTGTCAACCTTTTCAATCGTCAATTAATCGGCTTCCGATTAGTTGGTCCTGTTCACGGCATCATTGTGCTGTATATTATACATAGGAATACAAATACCAGCAATACATTATCAGTGGTGTGGAAATAAAAAAAAAAAACTACTTGTCCAAGGGCTAAAGCAGGGGCCAAATCTACTTGTCCCTCATGACAATCTACTTGTCCCAATACAAAAGAAAAATGTTTTAATCAAAACTAAGGATGCACCAATACCGGTTTTTCGGTATCGAGTACAAGTACCGATTTTGTGCTTTCGGATCTCGCTGACACTGAATACTAATACCGGTGCTTCCGCTGGCATGGAGCCGGCTTCCCTGGTAATCAAGAAGCCGGGCAGCGGGTAATGACATCCCGCCCAGGTTCCTGATTGCCACGGAAGCCGGCTCCATGTTGTTTAGCCTGCTTGATTGTGATTTGCCGGGAAACCTGCTTCCCGGTCAATCAAGAAGCCGGGTGGCGAGTAATGACCTGAGTGACCGGGAAACTGGCTCGATGCTGATTGGCTGGAAAGCAGGCTTCCTGGCCAATCAGCAAGGAGCCGGCTTCCCGGCCAATCAGAAAACCAGGAGGCGGGTCATTACTTGCCGCCGCACAGCTTCCTGATTGCACGGGAAGCTGGCTCCTTGTTCCCCTACGGCACTGCCAGTCAGAGGAAATTTTAATCTGGCCGTAAGTCCCAATATCGGGGAAGGCATCGGAGCATTTGGGGGAGTACTCGCCCAAATACTCCGTATCGCCACTGATACTGGTATCGGTGCACCCCTAATCAAAACATATTTTACTGTGCTAAATAGCGCTTCTCACTGGTCAGCGCAGTCATCTGACCAATGAGTGCTTGCAATTTGCGAGCGAAATTCAAAATGCATAGGGGAGGACTGCGCTGGACAGCAGTAGGGGGTACAATCATTTTTATTTTTCCATATTACCTGGGAAAATGAACTTGCCCTTTAATGCACATTGGTTGTGTGCATGAGAATTCTGGCTACCACCATGGAATGGCGGCTGCAATCTCAAAGCACATGCAGAATGTCCTACGCATGCGTTTATTTGCATGCAGATGGCGGGGGCAGCAGGGTTTCATTTTTATTTTTTACTTTTTCAATCTTTATATATTTTATTATTTTTTTAACTTTTTAAATGTTCTTTAAATTTGTATTTATTTACTTTTGCCAATGTTCTTCCTATCACATAGGGGATTCAAATCCCTTATGTGATAGTTTGGAGGTGACAGGTTCTCGTTATGGAACCTGCCCTCCAACAGCGCCACGGTCTCAGAGAACACACAGAGACCCCCTGTATAATTTTACACTTTCCATTTCACTATATGGCACACCACTTTCTTTTTTACTTCCACCGCTCCAAGCTTGCTCCTGTGATGGACTACAATCTCAATACAAACTAGTAGCCCATCACTGGAGCCATTTTTAAAAATGTATTTTATTTTTTATCCGATTAATCGAACTCAATAAATCGGCTACCCAATCGATTTTGAAAATAATCATTAGCTGCAGCTCTAGTGGTGTGGGAACTAGGGATGCACTGATACCAGTATTTCGGTGTTGAGTACAAGTAGCGATATTTACTGTATATTTCGGTACTCGCAGATACCGTGCACCAATACCGATACTTCTGCTAGCATGGAGCCGGCTTCACAGGCAATCAAAAAGCCGAGCGGCGTGTCATTACCCATCGCCCGGCTTCCTGATTGGCTGCAAAGCCGGCTATATGCTGTTTGGCTTGATCAATGCTGATTGACCGGGAAGCATCGAGCCGGCCAAACAACATATAGCTGGCTTCCCGGCCAATCAGGAAGCTGGGTGGTGGGTAATGACTCGCTGCCCGGCTTCCGGATTGGCCCGAGAAGCTCCCTCCATGTTTTTGGCCGGCTCGATGCTGATCGACTTGGAATCCGGCCAATCACCCAGCTTCCTGATTGGCCTGGAAGCCATCTCCATGTTCCCTCGCCAGACTGAAATATCCCTCTGACCGGAAGTTCCGGTATCGGGGAAGGTATCGGAGCATTTGGTGCATTCCTGGTGGGAACCATGGCTGGAAGTCTTACTAGGCTGCACAGGCCATGGCCTAGGGCACCACTGCCATCAGAGGTGGCATCTTGCCACACAGGACACTTGACTATTATGGTGGCTCTTAATTATTTTGTGCTCACAGAGCCCAGTGCCAACATAATCACCACCCTCCCCTGCATCTGAACCTTAGGCTGGGCACACACCTTACAACCATCGCAAGACTTTTGTCTTGCGATGGTTGTAAGGTACTTAAAAAAACGTACAATCTGCCTATGTTGCATAGGCAGATCGTACTTGCGATGATCGCAAGCCACGCCCCCTGAGGGGCGGGCTTCCGTTTACCGCAATGCCGAACGGGCAGTGTGCACTTGCGCACACCGGCCCGTGCGGCTGTTATCGTACGGACATGCCACAAACCCGCCGAACGTCGTACGATGCTCGGCGGGTTTTCAAACATGTCCGTAAGTTTAAAGTCGTGCGACCTTACAGTAGTAGAGGTCGCACGGCTTCCACACACCTTACGATCATCGTACGATCGCGGGATTTCCCGCGATTATCGTAAGGTGTGTGGGGACCCTTAGTTTCATTCAGCGCCACTGCACTCAGAGCCTAGCCCCGCCCCCAAGCGAGCTGACTACTGTGATATCACTTCCTGAAGTAAGGGATAGGAGCCCCTGGAGACGCTGTGCTGAAAGGGTTAACTGCTCATTTTGGGCCAGGGTCTATAATAAAAAAATATATATTTAACCGACCCTTGGTTCTGCGGTAGTGCTACCTCTCCACCTTGGAATGTCGCTCGGCATCCTCACGTCCAGTGCAAGTCAATGGTCCACGCGGTCACATGACTGAGTGTCAAGCCCTTCCCCCTCTCGGGGACCTGGTCCCTGGCTCTAAAGAGCATCTCGTTACCAATGAGCGCTCGCCATTCTCAACCATTAGGCACCGTTCACACCGGGGCGTATCGTGAACGTGCGTCAAATGTGCACAAAAGTGCGTTCACCATACGTGCACAAACACGGAGCGTGCTTGTGCTGCCATTACTAGGTAACGGCACCCAAAAAAATTTGCAACATGTACTTTCTTTCCACGGTTGGTGCACGTCCAGGGACCCAATGGGGACACGCGCCAAACAAAGTTCTGCAAACCCGCGACGCACATCCCCACTATGCCCCGGTGTAAAGTCCTTATATTTATTCCAGAACGCGAGGATGACAGTTCTAGTGTATGTTGTATGGAACACTACACCGGCTGGTGGGGGCATCACAGCAGGGACCTGGGTAAGCGGGGAGGCGGCTGTGAGGCGGAGGTTCATTTTTTTGACATTTTGCGAAAAACGTGCATTTATTTATTTTGTTGTGGTTGTTGCATTGGAGCCAGCAAAGCATTGCAATCCCAATCAGGAAGAATAAGTGGCTACAGGTGCGGTGGTGACATATTCCATTAAATGCTACGGGTTAGTTAACACCATAAGCAGTGCGTTCCGGTCTGATTCTGGCCGGAACGCACTGCCCGCATTGCGGCCGGCTCACTTTTTTGCCCGGCTGGAGGGGGCATGCGGGGCCATTGAAGTGAATGGCACAG